GGGGGGGGGGATTTAAGATATTTTCCATGGCATAGAAGTATTGGAGGTTTATAACAATTTTAAAAAGTTTTTATCCATGTACAGAATCTAATTATTGGGGGATTGTCTTAAATTCACCTGTCTTGGATTCTGAAAAACATAGCAGTCTTGGTACTTCATTGACAGTGTCCTGCAGTCATGTTCCATAGCTCTGAGCCTTTTGCTAACGGCTTTGGGGCAGTGTTGGCTTTATGTACCTCCTCAAGGGCCGTGTACCAGCTGGACAGAGATGCAGATCATGTGCAAAGCAGATGATTGTGGTGAACAGAGTGCTGTTTTTTTGTTTGTTTTTTTTTCTTCAGTTGCGCAAGATTCATCTGAAGGCAGGTTCTGGCCTGATGAGATGGCTTCTCAAAGAGACTTGTACAAATTCAGCCCCTCTGCTCTGAGAGTTCACATAACTTCTGCAATGCATTTCAGAAGCAAATTGCCTGGGGAGTGTTAACCAGTCCAGCTGACTCTCTCTTCAGTGATCTCTAAGCCCCAAGTGAAATTTGTCATGGTTCACTTAGAAAAGCCTGATACATAGCTTAACCTAAGCTCATGGGCTGTGTTGGAAGATTTCTCTTTTTATCTTGTCGGAGGGAGAAAAATGCTGGATATCCTGTTATGGTTTGAGAACTAGTGTTCTTGGTCTCCTACAGAACAAGGTCCAGTCCCTGCCCTAAAGAACTTGCAGGTGGTGTACACACAGCTTCCCAGAGAGACTGGTCAGAAAATCTGTAGGGAGTCTGTGAGACGGTATTCTGATAAAGTAGAAAGCATAGCATCCTTCGTTCAAATGCCCTGTGACATCTTTTGTAACTGTGATGAGTGGAATGATCTTGCCTTTGGTTTTCTGTTTAATCTACCAGATCTCCCAGTCCTGAGGCACCAAAGCCTTGGTTAGACGAGGCATCTGTTAAAGGTTGTCTTGTAACAAAGCAGATGTCCAGGGCCTAGAGGCATTCAAGGACCGCTTCATGGTCACTCATGGGGAATGCTCTTTTGTGCATGGTAGGGATTGAGTTTGGGGATTTTGAAGATGGCACGTTGGAAGTAAACTCTAGAAGACTATCTAGTGCATTGCCCAAAACCTGGCCTGCATAGTGAGTGCAAGGGAACATCATATATTAGTTCTGTGGTGGAGAAGAATCCACAACTTTCCCAGCCAGAAGCCAAGAAGCTGTCCATTAAAGGCATATTCTACAAGTAAAGTTGCATGTGTGCTTGGTGCACTAATAAATGCACTTAGGTGGCAGCAGCCAGGGGCACAGAAGATGTTGTGTGTCACCTTTTTTTTCTGCCAATCTGATGCGTGTCACTGACCCACTTGATATCTTTTGCTTTTAGGTTGGTGATAAGGTGATGGTGCTGGCCAGGGCAGGGCTCTGGCAGGAAGTAGTGACTGTACCCGCCAATCAAACTTTCCTGATGCCCGAGGGAATGAGCTTTGAGGAAGCAGCTGCCTTTCTAGTCAACTACATCACTGCATATATGATTCTCTTTGACTTTGGGAACCTGAGACCCAACCAGAGTGTCCTCATCCACATGGCTGCAGGTAAAGTGCTTCTCAGCAAGCTCCTGTGGTGTGTGGTATTCAGTGTCTTGGTAAGCTGATTTTTGGAATGGCCAGTAAAACTATGGGGGAAAGGGGGAGTGGGAGAAGTGGCTGGGGTGTGTACAGATAGGGGTGACAAGCTTCACATAAAGGCCTTGAAAGATCATTTATGTGGATGTGGGGTTTGGCAAAATGTCCTACTGTGCCACCAGCAGGTGTTAACACCTGGTCTGAAGTACAGCAGCAGTTGGATAATGCATGATGAAATTGTCTGGGCTGTGGGACATCTGGCAACTCCAACCTGGGAAAGGAAAATAGCCTTGGCTCCACCTACCTGACCAGGGGTTTTCCCCTTATTACTATACTTTACTATTTAACATGGTGAGACCCAAGCAAGTCCTTCACTCCTGGATGATATGGAAGTTGGGAGTAGGAGGAGGTGGAGGGGAAAGTATTAATTCAGATGAGGACTGACTTGTATTTCCCAGTGCCTCAGATTTTCCTGATAGCTGATAACCAGCTCAAGCTAATTCCCTTGGGTTTGCTGTTTCAGGTGGTGTGGGAACAGCAGCCATTCAGCTCTGCAAGACGGTGGAGAATGTTACCATATTTGGCACTGCATCAGCCTCCAAGCACGACTCCCTCAGAGAGAGTGGAGTTACTCACCCAATTGATTACAGGACAATGGATTATGTGGAGGAGGTCCGAAAAATATCTCCAAAAGGTAAAAAGCATGAGTTTGGGGAAGGCTGGCTGCAGTCTGTCGCTTACTCCTGTTCTATGCTTTTCTCACAAGAAATGGAAGGGACCTCTAACTAGTCCTTGTGCAAATTCTCTTCAGGTGTCGACATTGTCTTGGACCCTCTGGGAGGATCAGATACTTCCAAAGCATTTAACCTCCTGAAACCAATGGGCAAGCTCATAACCTATGGTAAGTTAGAAGCTGGCTTCTGCTGAACTGCTGATGGGTAAGGCCAGGTTGTCTGAAGGAGTGGGATCATGTAGTGGAGCAAGATGATTCAGGTCTGCAGGTGAATTTTGGTTTACCATAGGGCCTTGAAGCAAGAGAGCATCGAGGATATGCTTACCACCTCTAGAGTTTCCTGTATCGGAAGTGCCTCATGCACTGCAAGTCTGGGTTCCTGGTGAGGTCTAGGCAGCTCGCATATTGTTTCAATGGCTGTAGTCCTAGCTTCCTGTCCTGTCCCCATCACCAAGACACTGGGTCACTTGCTTCATGCGTTGCCCTCCTTCCCTTTTGCAAAGATTGCTACCTCCCAGAAGGGAGGCATGCATGCAGGGTGAAGTAGAATGCATCTTATACAGGATCTGCAGCATTATTCAGCCTGACTTTAATGTACAGCACTAATAGAGGCTTGCTTTTCTTCTGCAGGGTGTGTGGGTGATGAGGTTTGAAGCTACTAAATACTTATCTCTCCATTCCCCAGCAGTGAAACAGTGTGATTGTGTCCCCACAGACAAAGCAGTCTCACAGCCCCCAATGCAATATGCAGGAATCTTGCATTGATATGCATTCCAGCCCCTGGAATTGGCCTCTTGCTGTGCAGCCTGTCTAGTTCTGTTGGCAGAATTAACCATTGCAGTGAACCATGCTTGAAACCACTGTTTGGCTTCCTTTCTGCCAGCATTGCTGGCTGTGATTTAATGTCTGCAGTACTTCTTGATCTCCATCAGACTCAAGCAGGCATGGCACGTAGCTTTGCCTGCCTGAAGCTGCCACCAAAGGGCAAATAGCTTCAGTTTGATACATCCGGTGTGAAGAGGGCTAGGCAACAGCTCTAATCGTGGCTTTGCACTTTAATCATCTGTGGGCCAAAGTGAGTGCCTTTTTTTTTTTGTCGTCTCCAGAACCCTGTTTGACACACACTGATGCTCTGTCACCCTCAGTTGTTGCTTGCTGTGCACATGGGTGCAGCAGCCAGTACTATCCGAGTTGTTAGCCCAGGTGTGACGCATACTTCGCACCACATATTTAGCATTCTGTCAGTTCTCACTGTGATGGTACTCTTATCTTCTAGGGGTGGCAAACCTGCTCACTGGGCAGAGGAAGAACCTTATGGCCATGGCTAAAACCTGGTGGAACCAGTTCAGCATTAATGCCCTGCAGCTCCTGCACCATAACAAGGCTGTGTGTGGTTACCACTTGGGCTACATGGATGAAGAATCTGACCTTATTGCTGGTGTTGTAGCCAAGCTGGTTAGTCTGTACAACCAGGGCAAAATCAAACCCAAAATAGACTCCGTGTGGCCCTTTGAGCAGGTGAGTAGTCTGGAACAGGCTTGTGCTGCACACATAACGGGGAGTTGCAGTCCAGTCTGCTTGTACTCAAAGCTAGGTTATGCAGAGCTGTGTTGTCCTCTGGGATTTGTGATTCCTCTATCACAGTAGAGCCCAACAGATGACCTCCTATTGTGCAGGATGCTGTACCTAGCATATAGCAGGGGTGGGCAATTTTATTTGGGCTGGAGGACCACATAAGGAGTCTTGGTGAGCTGTTGAGGGCTGGGTGGGGAGAGGAGCAGGGAAATGCCAGCTGATCATATCTAGTTGCTGCTGGGTGTCTGACAGTGCACTGCTCTGCTGCAGCCAGGGCTGGGGAGACTCCTCCATTCCCATATGCTATGTCAAATACTGTAAGCACAATAGAGCTCTGGCCCAC